CTTCGACCGATCTTTCCGCTTACGTTATCGATTACCCGATTCTACGCTTATTACTTATACCTTCTTATAGTTATAAACTTTATTTATAGCCGGCTAAGGAAGAAGTAAAAGGACTCTAGCTTACCGTCTTAAGTCGGCTAAGGGAGCGGCTTTTACGTTAGTAGTATTACCGCTATAACCAGCGTTACGGAGGTTATAGGGGTTAAAGCTAGTCTCGTAGACGGCTCCCTTAGTATAGCGAGAACCTCGTCCTTCTCGCTAGCTATCGCGCTTCTAATCGCTTCTAGGATAGCTACGATACTTCCTATCTATCTAGGGAGGGGCGGAGTGCTTCCTTAAGGGGGAGGCGCCCTCTCCGGAGAGATATCTATTAGATCTATTAGTTAATAGCTTATACTACTATAGAGTAGGCAAAGGTATAGGTATAGGTACCGTCCGTAGGATAATATTAATAAGCTATATAGAGCTCTTTTATACGCGGCTAGCCTATATATATATATATAGGATCCGGCCCTCTATACGTAACTATATAGCTTAAGCTATAGCCTAAGCTTATAACCTATAATAGTTAAAGACTCTTATACCTAGCTAGTTATTATTAAGCTTCTTATAGTAGTAGTAGTCCTTATACTCCTTATAAGTCTTAGGTTACTCCCTCTTATACCTTATATACTATCTTAAAAGGGTCTTATTATTCCTACTATAATAATAAGGTAAATATTACTACTAATAAGTTAAGCTAAGATTATAGTTTAAGGGCTAGTTATTAGCTCTATCTTAATTTAGTTTTAAGTTAGGTCTTATTTAGTTATAGTCTTTTAGTAATAAGTCTTATTTTATAACTATTAAAGCTAGCTTAGTTAAGTTATATTAGTTCTATTTAGTCTATAGTTTAAGTAGCGAGGTTTACGCTTAGTTTAAGTTTAGTTCGGTTAATACTATAGTCCTATTATTATAAGTTATCTCCCTTTCTTAGATCGCCTTAATAAGGGAAGTAGTTAGCTAAGGTAGTCTTAGTTAAGGCTACTTTATTTCTAGCGCGACCTTAGTCTTATTATCTAGTATATCTATATATAGCCTTTAAGCTAGGTCGAATTAATAGAGCTTACTTAAGTAAAGGAACTATTACGCTAGCAACGCTACTATCTTTTTCCTTTAAAGGCCTACTCTTATATTACTTATATCCTAGGCCTATATTAAGAGGGACTCCCTTACCTCCTTTATTAATAAATAGTTAATTATCGTATAGTAAATAGTCTTTTATTTTTATTTATAGGTATATATTAGTAAGACTATACTAAGGACCTATTAGTTAAAGAGGAAGTTATTAAGCCCGATCTTTCTTATATATATCTAAGTAATTACTATACTAATATACTTAAGGAGGCCTTTATAATAGTTTAGCGTTATTACTTTATTAAATTATAGTAGGAAGTTAGTAGGGTAGAGGGTAGTTTAGTATTATTAGATCGCGTTTTTCTTAGCGCTCTATTAAGCGGCCTATTCCTTATTTAGCCTTTTAAGCGACTTAGCTTTATTTAAGAGGTCGTTTAATCCTATCTAGCTCTAGACCCCTCTTATCTCCTTTATAAGGGGGAGCCTACTAAGTAGTAGCGCCGCTAAGGGCCTATACTCTCTCTAGTATCGCCTCTTCTTAAGTATACTTATAACCGCGTTAAATACGCGTTAAATTTAGCTTAGGAGCTATAAATCCTTTAACCTTTAAAGGGTATTTATTATTCTATAGTTTAAGTAGAGGTTAATTAAGGGCACCTATACCTTTACTTTTACTTAGTAAACTAAGGTCGCGTAGTAGGCGCCTATTACTACTTAGAGGTAAGCTAACTAGTCCTATACTAGGTCCCGCGTAATCCTATATAGTTTCCCGCTTATAAGCGTTATCTTATAAAATATAACTATAGTATAAGAGATTAAGAACTAAATAATTACCTTATTATAGACTTCCTTAGTATATAGTAAGGTATAGCCTTATATAAACGCTATAAGCTTAGTTAGGGCTATAGTTTAGCGCTTTATCTTTACTTAGAGCTATTTTAAGTATACCTTTTAATATAGTTTCTAGTATACTTAAACCCTTAGTAAGCGGGCCTCCTAAACTAGTATTACTACGTTAGTCTTAATATAGACTAGTATCGTTATTACTTATCTCCTTTATATAAAGTATATTAACTTACTCTTTTATAGTTTAAAAGTAACTATAAACTTAGCCGCTTACTTTATATATACCTTTTAAGCCTCCTTTAAGTATACTATTATTATTACGGGACACCCTACGGTCGATAATCTAGGTACCTATAACGATATCGGCCTTCCTTAGGGAAGTTACCCCTAACTCCCTAAGGCTCCTCGTAGAAGAAGGAACCTAGAAGCTACCGGGCAAACTCTAGGAAATTACCTAGAAATCCTAGAAATAATAACTAAGCGGATTATACGGACGTTTTATAGAGATTTCCCCTAGGGATATATTATATAGGGAATATACTACGATTTCCTAAGTAATAATAGCTCCTTAAGGATTATACCGATATTTCCCTAAGAAGTTACTATAAGAATATAGCGGGGAAATTATAGAGAAATACCTATGCCTACTATAAGGGCTTTTGCCCTATATAGGCCTAGACTAAGGTCTAGGCTAAGTCTATATATAAGCGGCCTCCGCGCCTATATAGGCTAGGCCTATACTTCTCTTCCTTTTCCTTTTTATAGATTATTAACCTTCTTTTAATAGACTATACCTAAGCCTACGCTTTTACCTACTCTATAATAGTATAATCTACCCTTTATTTTACCCTCTCTATATCCCTATATATAGAATAGCTATTTTTAGCTACCTTTAAAGCCAACGTTTAATTACCTAGTCTAGTTAAACCGCCTACGCCGGTATATACGTACGCGAAATATCTATACTCCTATAGTTATAAAATTAAGGCGAACGTAATACTTAGTTCGCCTAGGCAATCGAGAGCCTCTTATAATAGTAGGGCTCCGTATAACTAAGAGCGGTACTACTATACCTTAGTAAGTTTAATAGCTCCTTTATAGAGCTCGAGCTATAGCTACTTTATATAGAAGCAAAGCTCTATACCGATAGCGCCGTAATAAGGGATATCCGCGCCTAATTTAACTATCTTTACGCGAGCCTATCCCTACGCCTATAAAGGTATCTCTTACCGTTTACGCGTACTAGTATAAATAGACTAGCCGACCTCCTCGCAAAGCTCTATACTAATTACGGCGAACCTAACGTAGCTAAGTCGGTAGGCTAGGAGCTTATAACGCTCTATTAAAAGCGGAGTAAAGCTATTCCGGCCTACCTTATATAGTTCGAAGAGGTACTTTATTAAGTAGACGTATATAGCTAGCCCGACGTAGTAAAGTATAATTGCCTCGTTATAAGCTTAAATTCGGATTAGCGTACCTATCTAAGTAAAAGGTCCGTACTACTAGATATATATACCGATCTCGTCTACCTTCTTCGCGAGCTTAGTAATAATAAGTTTCTTTTTTTATCTTCTTCTATAGTATAAGAAGAGGATAACGCTAGTAATACTATAGATATCTCTATCTCCGCTTTAAGGACTAAGGATAGAAAGAGGTAGCAATAGGAGGGTCGCTATATAGGCTACGGCAGTAAATCCTATTAGTTTTTAAAGTGCCTACGCTAGGAAGCGCGGGTAAACATACTCTAAGTAGTAGAGGGGCGCACGTACTAAGACGGAAAGGAGGTTAGGTTCGACGATAGCGACTCTAGCAACGAGTAATCTTAGTAACGCCTCTATAGGCTTTATCGGCGTCCCCTCGCGTGCGGTAGTAGCTACTATATAGACGGGACGTATGCCTATAGCGACCGAAAAGGCGGCTAAGATATAGGAAGGCCGCTAATATAATATAACTATAGTAAAAGGGAGTGCCCGTATAGCCCTATATAGGAGGGAGCGGAGCCTTATATACCGGAGTACTATCCCCTACGTTACGGTACTAGGAGCTACTACTATACGCCGATATAAGGGGGGCGGGATACTATAAGCTTACCGAAGCTAGCTACGCGCCGTTCTACGTGCCTCCGCTCCTTAGCTAGAAGTACTAAAGCCTAACTCTTAGGGCGCGGCCCCTACTAATAATATAGTCTATCCGAGAAGCTCGCTTAGGAGGGTATTATATATTATTTGCTAACGTTTTTTCCGCGACTAGGCGTATATAGTCCGCGCGAGGGTTCCGTCCCCCTAGGCGCGGTATTAGGTATTATTTAAAGGCGCGCCTCTTTAAAAGCTAGGTAGGGGTATAATATAAGGGCTTTTGCCCTATATAGGCCTAGACTAGGGTCTAGGCTAAGTCTATATATAAGCGGCCTCCGCGCCTATATAGGCTAGGCCTATACTTCTCTTCCTTTTCCCCCTTATAGATTATTAACCTTCTTTTAACGGACCGTACCTAAGCCTACGCCTTTACTTACTCTATAATACCTACCTAGGGAAAATACTAGGAAATGCCGCTAATACGCCGTACTACTATCGCACGATTATAAGGTTAAGATATTACTCGGTTAAAACCCTAAGTAAGGTCTTACGCTCGCTATAGTATATATAGAAGATAGAGAACCTACTAGATCTTAGGCGGGTAAAGAAGAATATAGATAGTTATTACTACTCTTACTTTAACTTATAAGACTAATAGCTAGTCTATATTTAACGCGCGTAATAACGTATAGTAGCTAGTCTATATAATACGTTTAATTATATACGGTAGCTAGTCCGTTTAATTACCTATTAGACCTATACTAGATCCGGGCAAACGGTAAGGTTAACGTACTAGCCCTATACTAAGGGACTAGTACTTAATAATTATTATAGCCACCTTCCTTTGTCATCACACTTTCTTGGCATGCAATTGTTAAGAAAGTGGCACAATTTCTACCAATTTGCTTAACACGTGCACGACAACCTCTGTAGCCGCGCTCTGCGCTGGCTTCGGCTGCGGCCATGGCATCTGCCACGAGCTCGCATGCCAGCTCGGATCCCTTTGATCTGGGTGCTCATACCCCGCCTAACCTTGCTCGCTTAGCCCGTGCATCTCAGCTGCGAAATAGTTCTCCCATTGTGACCCGTCCCATTGGTCTCTCTTCAGCATTCCGGCGGCCGGCAGCAACGCCGTCGTCGCCCCTCATCCGCCTGTCCAATGCCGCCGCTACGGAAGGAGCGCGGCGTGAACCCGTCCCGAGCCTGCCCGGCACCACCGAGACCGACGTGCTCCAACCGGTGTCTATCATTGATGCAGCTAACAAACTCGCCGGCGACGAAACCGATGCCCACAACGCCAAAATGACGGTTTTTCGGGCCTTCTGCGAATCATTCGAGCAGACTGCGAAGCAATTCACATCTGGTCTCGAACACAGCTTCGCAGAGCACTTCTCCAACCGTTTTCTCGACCTCTGGAGGCAGACGCCCTCCGATCTCCGACTCGCATCTGCGCCGACGTACAGCAGCGTGGCCGCCGGTCGCACCGCAAGCCAGCGGCCATGTGGCCACTCTCCCACGGCCGCTGCAGCCCCGCAACAAGAGCCACAACAGCCAATTTCCCGTCTCCAGGGACGACCAATCCCCGCCCGCCGAAAGAAGACCTCCGGGTTTTGTGCGACTCCCGCCGAAGCACCGGCGAGGGACCACAATAGCTACGCAATCCGGACCCACATTGCCGCCAAAGTCGGCATCGACCTTCACCAAGTCCCAGCCGCTTTCAAGGTGAACTCCGGATGGGCCATCAGAACAACAGATGCGACCATTCGGGATCTTATCGTCCAACGACAGTCAGAGTGGTCCCAAGACATGGGCGCGACAGATGTAGAAATCAGCCAGAGATGGTACACCTACGCCGTGGCAAACTGCCCCTATATTCTTACCGACCTACAGGGGAAAGAATTGGACTACGAGCCAGCCGCCAAAGATGAAATCGCCTGCCAGACCGGCCTCAAACCCATCAGGGTGCGCCCCGCCAGGCGCAAGCCGAACGACCCCCTGACCTGTACCTTGATTGTCTCATTCCTCGAACCGACTGATAAGCCCTGGAGGCTGTTTGGATCCAGTCGGCTCGCCCAATACATTGAGAGATCTAGCCTGCCCAGCCAGTGCGACAAGTGCTGGGACTTTCACGCCCGACACACCTGCGACCGACAAGCATCCTGCAAGCGGTGCGGACGGCGCGGCCACGACGCGGAAGCTTGCGTGGCCCTCGAGCGGTGCGCGAACTGCCTTGGGCCCCACGCCGCAGACTTTGCGAAGTGCCCTGCGCGCCCGAAGCGATCACACGGCGTCATTCGCCGTCTGACGAGAGAAGATCTCGCGTCCGAGAGCTGGGCGCTCAACTGTCCGCCCGGCGAAAGGAACAATACGAAAGAGTAGAACGATCCGAGCAGCCCGAACGGGATGCCACCTGCTCGCCGGGTGGTGTCACCGAAAGACAGTAACGCCTGGGCCTGACAGGAAGACCGCCTCGGAATCGACGCACCTCACCCCCGACCTCAAGTGCTGCCCGGGACGACGGACAGCAAGCCCAACCTCATGACGAAGCCCCACGGCGCGGTAGCGAATCGACCCTAAGCTCGACCAGGACCGTAACCCCGCCTTCCGTCATGATGGCCTCGGCACCCAAACCTCCGGGTGGAGGCCAACGACACAGATCTGCTTCTCCTACGAAGAAGCGACGCATCATTGAGGACTCTGTCTCTCCATGACGAGATACCCACGCACAAATCAATGTGGCAATAAGACTCTGCGAGTCTTCCAAGCGAACGTGGGCAAGATCTCGCCGGCGCACGACTGCGCCCTTGCCCTCGCCGATTCCGAACATTACGATGTGGTGCTCCTCCAGGAGCCATGGACAGAAACAAAGGGCGGCCGATGCCTTACCAAAACACATCCCGCCTACGACACCTTCTCCCGGTTGACAGCTGGGAAGACAATAGCACCCGACCCAGAGTCATGACCTATGTCCGCCGCAGGCCTGGGCTGATGGTAGATCAGAGGAGGCCCGCGGCAACTCGTGACATTCTTTGGCTCACGGTCAACGACATCACTTTGGTCAACGTTTACCGCCAACCGTCATACGACGAGGCCCTCGACATACTACTCCAATGGCCCGCGCCAAACAGATGTCTGGTAGCAGGCGATTTCAACGCCAAACACCACAGCTGGCAAGCCGGCCGCATCGAGGGCCGCGGCGAGGCTGTAGCTGCATGGGCGACAGCCAACGGTCTGAACCTGCTCAACCCGGCTGACGTCCCGACAAATCCTCATGGCAATACGATCGACCTTGCCTTCTCTAATATCGCCTTGGCCAATGCCGTGGTGGAAGACCATCTTGCCACCAGCTCCGACCACTTCACGCTCAGCACTACCCTGCCTGAGCTCGCTGTAGCGCCCCCACCCACTGGGAAGGTTCGCCTTACCTCTGACGAGGAAATAAGACGCTTCGTAGAGATGGTTGAAAACGGCGTGGCGGCTATCGAGCCGTCAACCGCTTCCCCTCAAGACTTGGATTCACTTGCCTTAGCAGTGACTAACCTACTTCAGTTTGCCGCCAAAGCTGCAGGCCGGCCGGTCCGCAAGGGCGCACGCAGCGCGCCCTGGTGGACGGAGGAATGCTCCTTGGCCGCGGTGGAGTATCGCGCAGTGAGGAGAGTCTACGCTCTCGGTTTCGGCCGAGAGGTTCAGCTCGCGAAAAGGAAGTTCCAGAGAGTCGTGCGGCGAGTCAAGCGCCGTTACTGGCGCGATCTGATTGACAGCTTCACGGACAGTGCGTCCGTCTTCAAGGCGGTCCGTTGGCTGAGATCGCCCGGTGCTTTCCAACCACCGCCTCTGCAAGTGGATGATACCGTCTATGAGACCCAACTAGACAAAGCCAACGCCCTGCGACGAGCAACGCTCGAACGTCGCACTTCGCAGGATGACATCACGGATCCGTGGGTCCCAGTGGACACAGCGAGGACGATTCCTTTCGCTCAGAACGTTTCCCTGGAGGTCCGGGACGCGACCCTTCGCACGGGTAACACCTCCCCGGCTCCGATAACATTACGGTCAAGATGCTCCGTGCCGTCTGGCATACCATTGGAAGCCTCGTCCACAAGCTGTATCAGGGCTGTCTCGACATCGGTCACCATCCTAAGCCTTTCAGGGAAGCGGAAGTGGTTATGATCACGAAGCCGGGGCGTCGGAACCTGTCAGAGGCCCGCGCCTGGCGTCCAATCTCTCTCCTCTCCTGTCTGGGCAAAGGCCTCGAACGGCTTATTGCGCGCCGTTTGGCGTGGGCATCCGTCCACTATGGTGTCTTGCACCCACAACAAGCTGGCGCATTGCCGAAAAGGTCCGCTGTTGACCTTGTCGCCGCATTGGTACACGACATCGAGGAGGCTTTCTCGCGCAAGCAGGTCGCCACACTCGTGACAATGGACGTCGAAGGCGCCTTCGACACTGTCCTTCGTAGCAGGCTCATTCTTCGCCTTCGGCAGCAAGGATGGCCTCGGAATGTCGCTCGTTGGGCTGGCCTTTATGCATGACCGAGCAGCACGTGTCCGCTACCAGGATGTCATGACACCCTCGTCACCCTTGCAGTGCGGACTGCCGCAAGGATCGCCAGCTTCTCCCATTTTCCTACTATACACAGAGCCAATCTACCGCCTGAGCAACCCCAAGGGCGCTTCGGCTATGCAGACGACACTGCCGTCCTTTGCGTCGGAGACTCCCTGGAGGAGACTGCCCACAGAGCGTCGAAACATGTTCACGAACTCATGACATGGGGCACCGCGAACGCGATAACCTTCGACCCCAAGAAGACTGAAGTCATGCACTTCTCCCGAACTACACCGAGGAATGCACCTCCAGTCTTCCATGGCGAGGTAGAAAAGCGGCCAGGCTCAGCCATGCGGTGGCTCGGCATCTGGCTTGACAGCACCCTGACGTTCAAGACGCACGTCGAGAAGTGGACTGCCAAAGCGCAAGCAGTGGCCTACCATCTCAAGGGTTTGACAAATACCAACCGCGGCCCCCTACCAGGTGCGGTCCGGAGAGCCGTCCGCGCCTGCATCGAGCCGCAATTGTTCTTTGGGGCAGAGGCGTGGTACCCGGGCATGACCTGCCCGCGATGGAATAAGCCGGCAAAGGAAGGGCCATCAAGAATACGGCACCTCATCCGGCGGATGGACAAGTCGCTCAACACGGCCATGCGAGCCATCCTCCCGGTCTGGAAGACGACGCCGCTCAGCGCCAGGCACCGGGAGGCGGGCATACCGCCAGTTTCGCACCTGCTCCAGGCGTGTCGAACGCGCTTCGCAGCCCGTCTCAAGTCCCTCGACGAAGCGCACCCGCTTGCGGTGCGAACGAAGCCGATCCGGGCCCTGTCATCAACAGGGCCATTAAGTTAAAATACCAGCGTCCACGACAACCTTTCCGGACCAGACTGCGTCGCACTGACGAGCTGCTCCCAAGGTGCGCCAGGCCAGACCTTCTCGCACGTAGGTTCGCCAGCGACCAGCGTGGACCCTTGCAAACTGCGCCGAAAGAAGAATCGGCGGCAAACTTCGGCGAGTGGCTCCAATCAGTTGCTCCACGGACAGCAATCGTCTACTCGGACGGATCCCTCTCCCGGAGGAGCCGCGGGTACGGCTATGCGGTACATCAGGATGGACTCACCGTCCTCAGCGGTAACGGCCGTCTTGGGCTTGCTGAGGTCTTTGATGCCGAGGCGAGGCTCCCTAGAGGTCTGCGTGCTGCGTTGAGCCTCCCGGCTGCAGACCAGATTGTCGTATGCCTCGATAACCTCGCGGTCGCGACGTGTCTTCAAGGCATGCCGTCAGATTCCTCCCAGAAGGAGTTCCTGGAATTCCAGGCCTTGGCCGCAGAACATGGTGCCACTGAGATCCGCTGGATCCCCGGCCACACCAACATCCCAGGTAACGAGCAGGCAGACGCCTTAGCAAAGGCAGGAACCTCAACCCGAGCCTGCAGACGCTCTCCGACGCTGGCATATCTGCGCAAGGTCGCTAGGCAGCGACCAAAAGACGCATTCAAAGCCTGGTGGGAAGTTTCTGCACCCCAACAGTACAGGGTCCTCGACCTCGATGCCACGACTGGCTGCCCGCCAGAACTTACCATTCCACGACCTCTGCTCCACCATCTGCTCGCAGCAAGAACCCACCACGGGGACTTCGCTGATTACCACGAAAGGTTGAACCACGACGATGCGCGACTGACGTGCTCATGTGGTCGACGAAAGAACCAAAGCATCTCTTCTATTGCCGGAAGATCGCGCCGCGACATCGGATGAGGTTGGCACCCTCACCGAGCGCGGCGGTCAACCGAGCAATAGGCAGAGACTTCGACCAGTTCGTCAAGGTGGCGAAGGCAAGCTCGTTCTTTGGAACGATCTGCCCTCGCCACTAGGCGGCAGCAACCGCTTTCCTCCTTCCCTTCCCTTTGTTTGCACACACCCCATTTTCTCTTACCCGACTCGGCCGGGCGGAGGGTGCTCTCGGAACCGGCCCTGTGAGGCCAAAACGAAAGACATGGCTGTCGCGCCTGAACGTCCCGCTGACGGGCAGCAGGCTGAGCAAAGAAGCGCCTTTGAGCCGATGAAATGCTGAATGGTGGATTGTTTACGTTCTGTGGAAGGGCAGAAGACGCGGATTGGTACTCGTTTCGTTTCGCGTATTGTGGGCCTACTCCGCGATAGTAGACTTCCAGCAGCTCAGCACGTCCTGTGCCCCGTCTCGGGGACCTGAGCGACCTAAAGGTCGCTGGACGGAAAATACAATAATAATAATAATAATAATTATTATAGCCTTATTAGGTCTAATACTAACTATATTTATATTATTAGCTTTACTAATAATATAAATACTATATATTATACTAAGCCTCTTATATAAAGGGGTTATATAGTATAGAAATAAGATTAAGAATAAGGGGGATCCTTAAGGGACTCTTATTAATACTTAAGTTAGCTTTAAGGTCCTCTTACTAAAGTAAAGGGTCGATCTTTTATTACTTTTAAAGCTCTATATTAAGCTTATAAGCTATCTAAGGCATCCTTAAAGCTTTAGTTCTCTTATAAGCTTATTATAATTAATTATATTAAATACGCTCTTAATATTTAGCTATAAGAATGATATAATACCCCTTTAAGCTTAAGTTACGCGTACTAGTTTTATTACTAATAGGATCGCCGCCTTTATAAAGCGCTCCCTCTTATTCTTTATTTATCTATTTAGTAAGATACCGTTCGCTTTTATAGCTCCCGCGATCCTTTAAGCTAGTATCTACTTAAGTACTTTCCTTATTATAGGTAGGAGGGAAATTAGTTTTTATCCCTTTACTATATAGTAAGCTTCCGGCCTCTTACTTAGCTTTTAGATTACTACTATATTCGCGCTATAAAACCGTTCTAGGAAATATAAAAGTTAAGTATAGGCGTTAAAGATTATAGCTAGTTATTAGACTAAGGCTAGTTTATACTTTTTAATAAATCTTAAAGGGACGCTATCTAAGCCCGCCGCTTTCTAGCTTACTATCTTACTTAGCGCCGCTATAATATTAGCTAGCTAGATCTATTAGTTAACTATAAGGGTCGCCTTAGCTATAGGCTAAGGTAGCCCTTAAGTTATACTAGCCTTTAATAGGAATAACCTAGCTATTAATATCTAAGCCGTCTTATTAAAGGTTTCTATTAATTAGTCCTTACCCTCCTTAACTAGTAGTAGGATATAAGTCGGTTTTAATAGTAGCTTACTATAAAGTCTAGCTTACCTCTTTATATTCTAGAGCTTAGTATTATTAGCGCTAAATCCCTTTAAGAACTTATACTAGTAGGCCCTCCTTACCTCGCGGACTGTTTACTTTTAAGCCGCTATTGCTTTATATAGGTCTTCTTAGTTTACCTTACTTTTTTCCTACTTATACTTCCTCCTTACCCTCTTAGCCTCCCTTATCGCCCTTCTTACCTTTAAGGTAAACTATATATTACCCTTAAGTAATACTTACCTTTATCGTAGAACTATAGCTATTATAATCTACGCTAAAGTAATAAAGATATAGTTTAGGTCTTAGTTAATATCCTTTAGCGTTTAAAGCGTTAGCTAGTATAGTCCTAGCTAGGATATAGTCTTAGCTTTAACTAGCTTAGCTTTTACTTCTTTCTACCTTAGGGCTAGCTTAGGCGCCTAAGCCTAGGAGTTAACTTATAAAGTAATAGTTTAAGAGATATAGTCTAACTTAGTTAGGTCTAAGTTAGGCCTAGTATACTATATCTTAGTCTTTAGCGTTACTTAAGCTAAGTTAATAGTACTATCCCTTTAGCTATAAAAGAATCTTATATACTTCCCTCTTAAGGTAGCGAGTTTAAGTTATAGTCTTATTACCTTTTATATAAGTTATATTATACTATCTAAGGTTCTATTATATTTATCTTAAAGTAGGTAATAGATATTAAAGTCCTTTACTATTACTATAAGGTATTTTAGTTTAATTAAACTTAGGTCTTATAACGCTTTAGCCTTCGCGGCCCTTAGTAGTAAGTAAATTATTTATAGTTTAGTACTATCCTTAAAGATTACCTTACTTTAGTCTAGTTTAGACTAAGGCGACTAAGTCCCTAGCCTAAGCCTTTTATATATATATAGTATATACCTCCCCTCCTTATAAACTAAGCTATAAGGCGCCGCTTTAAAGGGTAAGGCCCTACCTCTTAGTATAGCTTTTACTTCTTATAGTACTATTAGATTAAAGCTAGCCTAATAGTAAAGCGCTAACTAAGCTAGCTTATATTTCTTTTATATATTCTAGAATAGTACTCTTAGTTATATATAAGTAAAGTTAAGGTAAAAGGGGTCGACTATATAAGGAGGGAGGCGCTCTATCTCTTAGCGCTTCTCTATTTACTATACCTATAAATATTATTCGTACTTAGTTTAGCCTCCCTAGCCTTACTAGCTAGCGGGTATCTTAAGCTCGACCTCTTATCTTAGCGCGGTTTACTTAGTCCTTACTTTTAAACCGCGGTTAAGTTAAGAACGCCTTAAGTTTTAATAGTAAGTAGTACTTATTACTTAGTATAAGTCTAAGTATTCGCAAACTATTAAGGTTATTATAAGTAGTTTTCCCTTACCTTTTCCTAGGCTTTACTTACTATAGGGTAAGTTTAGGTTTATAATAAGTAGTCCCTTTAGTATAAGATATAGTTATAAGGGATTTCGCCCTTCTTAGCCTTATAATTATCCTTGCCCTTATTATATACTATACTCTTATATTAGCTATAAAGTTATATCGATATATACCGCTTAGTAATATAGCTATGCCTATAATAATTATAGTATCTTTATAGTTAGACTAACTTATTATAAAGTTTATATTAAAAGATTTATACTTTAAGGACTTAGCTTAGGTTATAAAGCTTATTAGCCTCTTTTAAGGTACTAACCTTAATAGGTATAATCGTTACTATTAATATCTTAGATTAAGGGTATAGCCCTTAGGCTTAAAGGAATATAGCTTTATTTACTTTTATAATCTTATAAAGTAATCGCTCCTTATTTACTATCGCTACCCTTAAAGGGATATTCTTAGCGACTACTATATATACGCGGTAGGTAATTATAGCCTCTAAACTAAATACGGCCTTAACCTAGCCTTAGTTCTTTTAGTAGGCTCTCGCTAAGGTATTAAATATAACCGCGATATCTTTACTTTAAAGGCGCCTTACCGCTATAGCGCTTATAGCTTTTAGGGCTATATTTACCGCCTTTACTATATCCTTTAGTTCGTAGCTTAGGATTTTAAGCGGTGCCTTAATAAGAACTATAATAATCTTATATTTATAGCGTAGTAAGACCTATTTTACTATAGCTTTATATTAAGTTAGTTATAACAACCGATATTACTTTTAAAGGATAAACCTATTAAGGGGTTTATATTAATAGATATAATAAAGTATAGTCTAAGTAATAATAAGTATATTACGTTAGTAATAAGTTAACGGTTATAGACTATAGACTATAACTAAGTAATTAAGTAATCGGAATTAAAGATAAGATCGTAATAGAGATTATAATAATTATAATATTAAAAGCTACTAAGCTATCTATTTAAAGGAGTATTTTATTCCTTCCTTATATATCTTAAGAGCTTCCTTAGATCGCCGAGAGTACTAGGTAATCCTATAGCCTAGGAGCGCTAGAGCGCTAAAGCGATCCTACGATCCTAGCTATAGAGCGTTAGAGCGCTAAAGTAACCTATCGCTCTAAACTTAATTAGCCTATTAGTTTATTTAATATTCCTTATTTCCTATATTACGTGCCCTTATAATATATACTAGTCCCCGCGGTTTACTAGACTATAGTTATAATAAGATACCTCCCTTTTTTTTAGTTTTACCCTTAAGACCTACTACCTTAGCCGCTATATATAAATATACCCTTATTACGTCGTGCGTAAGTATATCGTTCCTCGTTCCTTTTTCCTTTTAGGATATACTACTAATAGTATATTTAGTTATATTTAAAAATCGCGTTCTTATAATTTTAATAAATCGCGTTAATAATTAAAGCTAGTATCCTAGACCGAGATTATTAGTATTAAAATTATACCTTGCTCTTATTATTTTCGGTTAGGCCTAACTTATAAGGTTAGCGAGCGTTTTAATCGGTATTTTAAATACCCGTTGATCTTGGTGTGGGGCCACAGCAGCCCAACTAAGTGTCTTCGCCACTTAGTTGGCCCAAAAAATCCGGCACAGCCCAAAAAATCCGGCACAGCAGGGTCCTCAATTTGGGGTGCAAAATCAAGGGAAATTCTACGCTTCGCTTCATGGTGCCGTCAATGCGACTTCAAATAGCTAAAATATACATGTGATCAATAGCTGCGGATCACCTAAAGACGCAAGTAACAACGAAAAGTGAAAAAATCACGTCTTTGGGCCTATTTAGGAGCTGCCGCCTTCCAGTCGAAGAGATAGGAAGACCGCGTTTGTGAGTCCAAATAGACGTATTATGTAGTAATTTCGCCTGTTGTGCGTCTCTGAGAGCTATTTTATCCATACCTGTGTTCCTGGAGCGTCTGCTGTATCTTGTTGGACGATCGGGTGCGCGGTCGAGGGCATGGTGTATCGACTACCGCTTCAACCGCTGCTAACGGCGGCGATGAGGGTATATTCTCTTGCGTGTCGAGTAAATTGTCCTCGTCTTCATCGTCGGCGCCATCCTCACTATGTTTGTCAAGATCGAGGCCTGTGAAATAGACGGTATCGTCACTGCCGGGCAACGACGACATATCTGTAAGTGGGCGAGGTCGGGTCGCTGCGCGCGCCCTGACATCTCTGGCGGAGTTATTTCTCTTCGTGGTATCATAGAAAAGGATTCCTTGGATGGCTCTTTGAGCTCCCGCATGAGGGTATCGCAACTTTGCTCCAGAGTGTAGAACTCAACGTCTCGTCCCGTAAACTCTAGCCAGGGCTTAAAGTTCAATGTCTTGACTCTGCCATTGACTAACTGCTTCTTCCCGACTTTATAGTCTTCTCGGATCTTCTGCATCTCTCCACGAACTCGTTTAAGATGCATCCTTATCTCCTGGCGCGTTTGAAGCCGGGTTTGCT